GCATGAGTGGAGGGTACGAGAGAGGGAAAAAGATAAAGTGAGAAAGAGTAAGGGAGAAAAGAAATAGAGAAGGAAAAACAGATAAATAAAGAAAGAGAGGACAACAAAGGGAATAGATAGAAAAGAGAGTACGGGAGAGACACGGAGAGAGAGGGAGGACAAGTAAGGCAAAGAGAGCGGGAAGATGATGGAAACAAGGGTTAGAGAGAGTAAAGAGTGAAAGGAGAGAGAGAGAAAGAGAGGGAAGTGAAAGAATAAAAAGCATTAGGGAGAGAATGAGAGAGAAGTGGAGAGAAAGAAAGAAAAAGGATGGAGAAAGATAGAGAGAGGGAGAAGAAAAAAAGACAGATGGAAGTAGAGCAAGAGAAAGAGAGAGGGGATTAAAAGTAAGGGAGGGTGAGAGACAAATAGAGAACAAATAAGGGAGAGTAAGAGAAGAGAGAGAGAGAGAGATGGATAAATAGGCAATATAAAGGAGTGAGATCAAGTGAGTGAGCGAGTGTGGGAGATAGTGAGAGTAAAGTGAGTGAGAAAGGGGAAGAGCAAGAAATGAAGAGAGGGAGGGAGTGGGAGCGATGGATGAACAAAGAGCAAGAAGATAGAGAAGAGTTACTTAAAAGAGAGGAGATAAAAAAGAAAGACTTAATGAGAGGGCATGTGGTTGGAGATAAAGAGAGGTGAGTGAGGGAGGAGAGAGGGGCGAGGGGGAGAGAGAGAGAGAGAAAAGAGATGAAATAAAAATGAGAGAAAAGAGAGGAAAAGGAAGGAAGGCATGAGAGTGAGGTGGTTGTTTAAGATGGAAGGAGGGAGGAAGGGAGTGAAGTAATAATAGAAGAAATAAATGAGTGAAAGGTAGTGAGAGGGAGAGAGGAAGAGAGAGAAAAGAGATGAAGGGAGAGAGGAAGGGAGGGAGGGATGGAGAAAGAGAGAGGGAGGGAGAAATAGTGAGTAAGAAAGAAAGAGTGAGAAAGTGAGAGAAAGACTTAATGAGAGGGAACAACATTGGAATGGGGGGGAGAGACAAGTAAAGGTGTGAGAGAAGAAAGTGAGATGAGGGAAATAGAGAGAGGAAGGGAGATAGAGAAGGAGAGAAAAAGGACATGGGGTTGGAGTTTTTGAGGGTTGGAATGATGGGGGAGATATAAAAAGATAGAGTGAGAGAGAAAGGAAATAGAGTGAAAGTGATAATATAAGAGAGAGATAGAGAGAAAGAGAGTGTTAGAGAGGGATAGGGGAGAGAGCGACTGTGAGAGAGAGTAAAGGGGAGTGAACGAATATATTCAAAGAATAAGAGAGAGAAATAGAGAGAGAACAAGAGAGTGAGAAAGAGAGCAAGAAGAGGGTTGTGAGAGAAAGATAGAATGTGTACAAAAGATACCCAAGAGTGATGGGAAGAAGAGAGAGAACAAGAGGGAGAGGCAAGCAAAGAGGTAGAGAGGCTGACAAAGAGAGAGAAAAAGAGAGTAAAAGAGAGATAGATAGAGCAAGAGAGAATAGAGATAAGAGAGATAGGGAGAGAGGAAGGGATAAAGAGAAGGGAGAGGGAAGGAGGGAAAGGGGGACGAAGAGAGGGAGTGAGTGAGAGAGAAATAAAGATAGAGTGAGGAAACAAGGGAGGGAGACGGAAAGAAAAGACTAAAGTGAAGAAGTTAGAAAGAAAGAAGGAAAGGATGGTAGGAGAGAGAGAAAGAGAGTGAGAGAGAGAAGAGCAGAGAGACTAAGTGAGAAAGGGAAAATGAGAGAGAGAGAAAAGGAAAAGGGAGAGATAGAGAGCAACAATGAGGAAGAGAGAGCCAGTGAGAGGTATAAAGAGAAGATATAGAGAGAGAAAAGGAGACAGAGTGGGAGAGGAAGAGGGATGGAGTGAAAGAGAGAGAGATATTGGAAAAGATGGAGTGCGAGAAAAGGAATGGAGAGAGTGGGAGAGAGAGAAGGATGGAGTGAAAGAGAGAGAGAGAGTGCAAATTATGCAGAATGCCAGAGAGATAAAGTGAGCAGGGGAGTAAAAGAGTGGGGGTAGATAGAGTGGCAGAAATTAAGGCAAGGGGAGAGAGGGAGAGAGAGGGTGAGAGAGAAAAAAAGAAAGAGGGATGAAGAGATTGATGAAATAATGAGAGCGAGTGAAAAAAGATCGAAAGAGAAACTGGGAGAGAAGAAAAATAAAGTAAAAGAGAGGGCGAGAGAAAGCATGAAGAGTGAGAGTAAGAGCATAGAGAAATAAAGGGAGTGACAGAAGAGAGAGAATCAAGAGAAGATTTAGAGAGTGGAGAAAGGTAACTCTACGTTGTGAAGTCTTGATGTAATATTTTCTCATATTTAAGAGCCTCAATGGAGATAGAGAGTGAGCGGTGGGATAGAGAATAGTGAGAGAAAGAGATTAAGACAAAAAGAGAGTGAAAGAGAAGAGAGTATGAAAGAAATAAAGAGAGGTGAGATAAGAGTGAGATAAGATATAGAGCTATAGAGCAGAGAATAGAGTGAGAAAAAAGAAGAGAGTGAGAGAAAGGAAAAAAATTAGAGAGAGGGGAGGGATGAAGAGGGAGTGTGAGATTGAGGAAGAGTAAAAGGAAGAGAGAGGTAGAAAGAGGAAGGAAAGAGAGAATAGAGAGAGTAAAGTAAAAAGAGATCTCACTAGAATGTGAAATAAATAGAGAGATATGGAGGGAGAAGAAAAAGATATAGGGTGAGAAAGTGCAAGAGAGTGAGAGAGGGTGAGAAAGGTATAGTGGGAGGAAGAGGGGAGTGAGAAAAAATAGAGCTTAAGAGTGAGAGAG